AAAAGGGTATAAGTTACCCCTATAGTAACACTTCATCTGCCCGTCCATATCGCCTTGAATGATGTGTACCATACTATTAGAGCATCGCCAGGAATCCATTGATAAATCTATGTTGCACATCATGTGCCTCGCCTATCTAGCGATCGGTCTACCATTCTAACCGCTCGCCACATGTTTGCATTCGATATATGCCTTTTAAAATTTGCATTTGACATGAATGCAGTGTTAACGACTATGGAAATACAGAGTTATTTCGTGTGAACATCATGCACTTTGAATGTTCATTGGTACATACTGGAACTTCTTGATACATGACTTCAAGATATCAAATGAATAAATCACACGTATATACGATACAATAATTTTATTCACAAAAAAATACATGTTACATGTAGAACCAATTGAAAGATTCCTACTCTGACCTTTAATTTGAATAATAAAAGATTTAACTACAAACATTGACGTGTGCTTTTTTTTGTCAACAAAAAGTTGTGGTTAAAATTCTTATGATATCCACTGATCTAATAATAAGAAAAAGACAGAAAAAATCTTTGCATGTGCTACATTGTATACATTTCTTCTTTCGTATATAATTAAACATAGATGAATGGTGACATATTGAAGTTTCTGATGATCACAACTCTTAGTTTGAATTATTTATTTATGTAATAATTGACAAGAAATGTCAAAATGACACATATGCTCATTCATTACCTATTTTAATGGAAAGTACTTAAGAATAAGTAAACATCATTAAAGTCACAGATAAACTGATTATGTAATGGTATGTATTTGTGAATTGGAGTAAAAAGTAAACAATTATCTTTTAAGAATTGTATTTTTACGACAATATAAAAAATTATTGTCTTTTCAAGTTCAACATGATACACAATTAGTGATTAACATTTGAAAGTCGATACAAAAATATACAATAGTATCAATTAAATTATCAAAGTAATACATGTAAATATATCTGCGTTAATGTGACGCTAAAAGGGAAAAGTAAAAATGAAAATATTTAAAGAAGAATAATTGACAATATTCCACAGGTGTTCTAATAAGCAGCTCTTATATCAGACAGGCGACTCCCGCCAAATACCAGTACTGATAATCAAACTTACATTAGTTCATATCTGTACCTTCTTATTCTTCTTATTTATTTGTTCATATTAGTGACTGAGGAAATTCGGTGATATTACAGTAGTACAAAAGAATATACGAACACAAAATATAAAATAAAACATGGTATCAGAAAGAGTAAACATAATACAAATGATTCCGGTAGATGAAATCACAATAAAACAAAAATACGGTTCTAACACGATTATCAGACTAGACATTTTATTGTAGTTTTCAACACAAGAGAGAACTGTAAGTAAAGCTCTAATAACATAAAAGGAGAAATAACTGATGTAAGCCAACATAGCAAATATTTTAGCCTTTACTTCCCTTTCATTTCATAACGTTCATATATCATTGTAGTTGTATAACACTGATCGCTGACCCTTTCCACTTGGATTCGCATAATGTCACTTTAACCTGTATGTTTATATTCATTCCTCACAGTACGCACTTCAATCATGTGTCTTAAGTCCCATACAGTGTATAAACGCAACACTCCACAGTTCTTCAAAATTTTCAACCTTCAGAATTAAAGGTTATACCAATATCATCTTTAAAAAATTTAGAACAGAAATGGAGAAGTCTCTTGCACTCATATAACACTTGAACATTGCAAAAAATAGAAAATATGAAAATAATTTCATTAAGACAAATATAATAATTCATAACATGCTTTTCAGTAGATAACTGACATAATATATATATGATGGAAAAAGAATCAAAATGCAGTTTCATTGAAGTCCGATTAATTCGAAACGCAGAAAAAATAATATGAATACATTAATACTCATAGCTGAAAAGTTTAGAAGAAACACACTCTTTTGTAGAGAAAATGACAGCAAACACAAACATATCAGTACTATCATGTTAAATTGAAATAAAAATTTTAAGAGACATGAAATATATAGTTAAAAATATAAAAGACGATAGCACATATTATCAGATTATATTTCTCTCGAACATGTAACTCACGAAGTTCTGGGTGCCCACCCAGTAAAATTTCGTTTGATCTTGAAATGAAGCTTATTTTTCTGAGTTAGTCTCAAAGCTCCGGATTTTCCTTGATTGTTATACATTCTGCGTTCTAATACCTGAGATCTGAGTTGAAGGTAGAGAATTTCTTAATAATCTCCGGCCGAGGTGCCTACTCAGTAAAAGATTGTCTTTTTTGAATGGAAAATATCATTCGCGTATAAATGAAAATATGATAAGTTACAAAAATAATCAAACACAGTTGTTATCACAGGGATGATGTACATAATTTTGCAAAATGAAATACATTAAAGGACAAAACATGAAAATGTAAGATACTATTACACAGTAAGAGCTTTCATCTATTCAAAACAGAATCGCAAGTATGTATCAAGATAGCATTACATCACACGAATGATATGAAAAACATTAATCAAATTTACACATAGCTTATGAAAAAAAATGACACTAAATTTAAAGTGATCCTTGTCATGATCCTTTAAAATGTTACATAATGATAATAGAAAACAAAAATAAATTACACATTGCTTATGTAATTCAAATAACAACTAAACAAAACAGATATATTACTTTTGCATTTAAAGGAAAAATTATACAGAATACACCACGTTCTTACATTTAAGAAGTAAATTATCAAAATGTCTTTATGGAATATAAAAATTAATCATCGAAACTTGAAAGTGTTTTCTGATTTAAATAACATTATTTAGAATTAACATTTTAGTGGTATGATATAGGAAAAGAAGTATACCTAAATAAAGAAGTGTTTTGCAATTGTTTACAAATAAAAACCATACAATGATTATGTATGAATTGCCTTCTTACAATAATGTCATTTTGCCGTTATGAATAAAGTTTTAATTCATATGCTACTAAAAGCAAAAAAATATTTCGTAATTTCTATCTGTATTATGGTTGATATGTGATATGCAAGGAAAAGAATCCAATACCGGCTGTCGTCACAGAGATGACTATCTAGCTCTCGGGGTAACAGTTTAGTGGAGACTCGAACATTGCTACCGCCGTAAACAGTTAGTCCGGTCTGTACAGACAGTTGGTGTAAGATCCTTATAATCATATAATAAAAAAATAAAAATCAATAATAAATATAAACAAAACAAATGTAACAAGACGACTTAAAAACCTTTAGCAGGACAAGCACAGACGGCAGGTTTTATAAATATTTGTACAACTTTATATACATAATTCTAAGCATAATTCTAGGTATAAACGACATATAAGTGGCTGCTATTCTAAATTATTATTGTAGTGAAGAGTTGGTTTATCAACAGATATGACAATTGAAAGAGTACAATTAAAATACTGTTAAACAAAGCTTTAGGAATAAAAACTACACAAATTAAAGTGAAATAATTTCTTTAAAATCTCGAAAAAAAAACTTACAATGTTATCAAATAATGGATTAAAATGTTATGCTCAGATGAAAATAGGTATGTGCGATAAGTATACAGTATGTAACAGATTGTCCTAAACAAAGTAAACATGCGTTTCTTGTTAAATAGTTATTACTAAATGTTGTCAAGCCACGTTCAGACTTATAAAACATGATCTGCCTTTAATGTTAAGGCGATGTCGTTTTATTTTGGTAATTGTTCGCATAATGAAAAGTCAAGACTCAAGAGTGATATACTTCTTATGTTTCGTTTTTCGTTAAGATTGCCACATATCTTTGAAGCGTATTCACGTTTTGACTATGTTTTAAACATTACTGTACATACATATTCTAATAATTGACTACATGAATGCTGTTGTAATAATATTCATACTTGTTCTGAGAAATAAAAAACTCAAATCTTGAAACTATTATCAGGTGAAAATATCATTATTTTGGCGAGTGTTCAAGTTAAATTAAAAAAAAAACTTTATCTTTTGTTATAACTGTTTTCAATAATAAACATCACAAGAATACTAGTAATCAACAACCCTTTTTTTACCTAACTCTAAAACCTAACTATGTTTTGATCCAATATATATAAATATCATTTGGAAAGAATAGGTATAACTCAATTTATAAAAGTGTGGGTCATTCCTTTTTTATATTTAGGCAGTTTTCATAATTTATTTCTAAACATTTATATATTTATTATTGTTCAATTGCAATTAAGTAGTCAATCTTTTGAAATATACAACTAATTTATCTCAGCTTCACAAAGATAAAATGAGCATGATGTCACTTTAAAATATAAAACGAAGATAGTAAAAAATATGAACATAAAGTAAATAACAAAATCCATAACTTTCTTTCTCTCTACTGTTAAATATAGCCACATTTTTCAAAACAAGGTAACTTAGTAATAACAGTAGATGTTGTTTTAAAAAGTGTTGATGAATGAAAGATTGGTGATCTCGGACGCCATTGAGCTAACAAGGTAAACACAATACTATACAGATAATGTTTGCATAAAAATAATGACATTATATTGTTTGTACATGACTTGACTGGACATTATCTTGCATTTATCGACTTAAGTAGCATTTAGTCCTTTAGTGTATTGAAATGAATTGCTAGACATATATGTTACATGTATATTTAAAATACAAGTAAAGGTAATATTTTTAATGTGCAAAAAAATGACAGAATGTGTAATTTCTGTTACCATAAATTTACAACTTTCCTTATGAAGCGAGATAATTTCTGCATATATGCATGTTTGACTAATCTAAGACAATCTGTTTCAGTGTTTGGATACAAAGTGCATTATAAGTTAGAGTATGATCAATTAATTTGTTCTCATTAACATCAGTTTTATTGATCTAAACAATTTCAAGTTTTCATTGAAAATAAACAAAAATAGTGGCGTGGCTGCTTTTAAATTTAAATGAACAGTTCCAAAAACATGGTAGAGTAAATCTATGTTCTTCCGTTAAGAGGGTTTCAGCGCTTATCGAGTGAAGAGTAAGAATTTAATCTATTAAGTCTCAAAGTACAAGTGAGTGAATTATTGAAAAAAAGTGATTCATTGATTGTCCTTTCTCCTTTTCATCTCTTCGTACATTTGCATTATTAGAGGAAAATGTTGATCCATATCCGATTTCATTTTCGTTACTGTGCTCGTAAGATTACTGAGATGTTTATATAAGTTAGCAGTTTCAAAACTTTTTAATGAATTGACTCCACACGCCTGGAGTATAGGTAAAATGGGTGTAACAATGGATGTCCCGTAAGATGTTCCACCTTCGACCATACCCACGCAGATATATTCATCTGATCTTTCCATGAAAACGAGAGAACCGGAGTCCCCAGGCTTTGAGAATCTATTCCCTTTTGAAAACCACTTATGTGGCATCACCTCTAGCTGGTTGTGTAAAGTAATCTCATGGTTCCCAACATTAGCCCGATATGTCAATGTTCTTACCGTAGTTGCAGGTTCTTTCATGATAAACTGTCCGGTGGTTTTATGTGTTGTGCTTCCAAGTTTAACAACGGGTACATCATTTAATACAGACACATCGTGTGATTTTCCACTATCAAATGCCATATCGTCATTTCCTGTAAAATTGTTATTTCTTTAATATTAAAGCGTTAACATAGGTAAGATTTTGAAAATATAACATTTAATCTAGTAATGATAAAATAACAAGAATAAAGATCAACAAGGCAAAGGGAACGTTCACAGGACGCCGACCCCGGACACACCCAAGCGGGACACCCAGAAGGCACCAAACAAGTACCTGGAGTGGACACAAGGGCGAAAAGAGCGGGACATGTAATGTGAAATAATATATAACAAAAACAAGCCCATAAGGAAATTAAAGGGAAAAGGGCTGTACGGGTGAAAAGGTGGGGGTAAAAATGGAAGGGGGGGGGGGTAAGAGAAATACCTACCGTCAACGACAATCCAACAAGACAGACATCACAAAACATGTAAACATACAAAAACAAGTAACAATACAGACAAGAAAAACACGTGAAGGAACACAAAGGGGTACCGCCTTGGAACGGTCAGTGGTAGTTAAACCGTTGGGGAGTTTAAACCGGCTTTAGGCGCGCCAAACCTCACTCTTAGCCCCAATATGTTCCTGAATGACACGAAAATATATATAAGATTAATCCCCGCCAAGTGAAATTCTAACAATTCGACGAAATAAATAAAACACATACAAAATTATGTAAATATGTAAAAAAAGTTACTGCCTAATGACCATTACCAAAGTACTCGATGCCTTAAAAGAAGGCAGAGCAACAAGAAAATCACCTACAAGGGTCCGACGAAGCAAGGCAGAAGACGAACATTAAGATAATTCAGTCCCCAAAGGGCTTTAAGAACTGTCCATCATAGAGTCTCCCACTTGGTCCGTCAGATGTAATCAAAAGAGGAAAGCGTAGCGTCCAACTGTAAAAGGGTTGAACACCAAGCATGCGGTATGCCTTAAAATAATTCGGTCATAACCTCTTTTAATAAACCGTTTGATAATTTTAGTGAAGACGGCAGAAAAATTGCTAGAACCCATGATCCTACGAAGTTTGCAAACCACATCTCCATAGAAGTCAGGCTTGGTAATACCTTGTCGTAAAAGATTTTTTAAATTGCAATTAAATTTTAAAACTAAGTCTGAATTACAATGGTAAAACTTAATAACAATACTGTATGCACGGTGGATATACTATACACACGACTCCCTGGTACTTAATAAAATACCATCTCTAAATACAAATTATTGTCTAACTGGCCATTAAAAAACTTCAGCAGACGGATAAAATTGAATTTGTGTCCAAGGATTAGAAGGCGTTTGATCCTCATTTGGCCGATAAATTGAACTTTTAAATAAAAAATTTGACTGTTGTCTGCATGAAAAAATACTTATAATGTTTTTAGATATTCAAGTAAAGATATCGGTCATACCATGAAACTTTCCTGAGCTTGGACGGTGTTCTTCTATCTGGAACAAGGCGATTTCCATTCCACTCTGTTCAGATTGACCTTTGGTATAAACAGCCTCAACGAGTCGCCCTACTACATTTGCTGTTCCACCTGGATGAGTAACACCTTCGACAGGATGAAATGTTGGCCACTTCATCGAGCCATGTTGTTTTAAATCACCCATCCACTCGTTGCTCAACAGAACGTGTGCACATGTTAAACCACAAAGACCGTATTTCGGATGTTCTATGAATCCACCAAGTGTTCCAAACTTTTCGCACGCTACGCTTCCTATATTGCAACCCATCTTCAAACCATCAGATATTTCTCCGCCGGAAGGGATTCTTGGATGGGTCATGAAGCCGCCCTCCCTAACATCTATCGGAATACCTTCATAATGGTCATCGAAAGGTTCTTCATCAATAGGTATGTAATTCTTTGTATGAACAAAGAGAACAATACAAGGTTCTCGAATGATCGTAGCCTTACTCGTTCCATAGAATTTCGACCTCAAAGCGCTCGGTGCAATAATAGATAATTGTCTGTGTTTCGATAGCAACATATCAGCGTGTTTGTTTATACATTTCTTTAGATTTTCTAATTCCTTTAGCTTCAGATTTTGTTCCATAAACAGTTTGTTTTGTAAAACTTCTTGTCCCTCTAAACTGTATTCTCCTATTGGTCTTATCTTATGTGAGTACTGTTTTACTGTTCCCATTTCTGCTCGAGATAAAGCTGCTTTGGTGCAAATTACAAATATAATTTTCTCACTTTGATCACTCTCTTTATAATACGACGGTATAACCTGAACAATCTTTTCAGATTTGTTTTTGATTGATGCAGCAAGTTCAGTGCAAATAGTCTTTATTAATTTCTCTTCTCTGCCAAACTTTTTACAAATTTCATTAAGTGCTTGCTGTTCAGGGAAATAACGACTTTTTATAAGACGTTCAGCTATTTTCTTGGAAAACTCTGTATCTTTACAAAGGCATTGTTCCCAATCAGTCTTCACTTGGTCTAAATAAAATGTAAGAAAACGTATTCTGTAGGAGCGTTACAAATAATATATCTTGTCAGTGTGAGTTTAAATTACAGGTGTGCAGTAACTATGATCATATACATTCCCATACCTATCGAGTAATCCCTTGTCCAAATGAACAAAAGTTATTGCAGGTTGAACATAAAATTCAAGTAAAGATGCCTTATTGTCCAGTATCAGTGGCGACAATGGTATTGTATTGTATCGTTCAAGATAAAATTGAACGAGGTCATGTTTTAATTCTGAAATATACGATAAAGTTGTAAAAGTTTTGAAATTAAGTTTAACATTCAATATGAAAGGATAATTAATATTTTAATAGTTTTGTAATTTATTCATATAGGCAAACATGCAACTAATTAGGTTCAAAACTTAATATTGAGTACTGACCGGTCTTTAATTCGTCGTAAGACTTCTCAGGAAACAAAGATTGCATGGTTGTGTCGTTTGCTTCATACTTTATACGTTTACGTTGGGTGGCGCCACTATCCATTTCCTTGTTCTCTGACATTTTCGTTTTTTTCACGCTCTCTTGAAGTTCGTGGATCGTTCCGCGTAGTTTTGAAATAATCGATTCTAGCTGACAAAGTTTAATGTTTCTGTGGTCTCGTGAAAATATGTCATGGCATCCAGAAAGCAGATTTAACCTTAATTTTGGTATGGTCGTACTTTTTTGAATGCTTCTCTTTTTATGCTTTCCTCTTCGTCTTGCCTTTTCCTCGTCATCTTTTGTTATTGAAAGTATCAATTCGGATAAAACTTCAGTAAGTGTCTGTGTGTTGACAATCAATGTATCTGATTTAATCTATTATGATATAAAATAAATAAGAATTGTTTTCTTCTTATATTAATAATGAATATTGAGTTTGATCTTTAAAGACGTTTTTGGAGTATTTTATGCGCATCGTAACGCGCTTGCCTAGGACGATTATCACGGATAATTCAAAAATTCAAAAGGAAGGTAGTTGAATTATACTCGGATAACTGTTTCAAAGTTCGGCTACAAACAAATAGTAAGTAAATAATACAGAATATTTTAAAAGTTCAGGTAGGGAAAGCGTCAAATAGAATAAGAGGGTCGTTAAGACAACATCAAATAAAGGATTTCTCCTAACATTAGTATGACAACATTGATGATGATTCCGCGCTCATTACCCCACCCGCTTGTGGTAGTGAAAAAAAGTGCGTCGCCACTTGATCACTGGTGGACAAGTGGACAAAGGAGTTTAAACTGATATTTTTTTTTAAATATTGAATAATTTCTGAATACTTGCTTACCGTTTTCGTATGTTAGTCGAGTGAATAAATAATATGGCCTTATATAACTTGTTTTAAAACATGTTCAGTATCATTTAATTCATACAACATCAAAAGAAATATAACAATTTATTTCAACATGTTTTTTTGTATATATAACAATGCATTTGTTATAACACTCATATTTTTTAGAAAAGCGTGGTTATTTTAACATTTCGCGGTAAACATGGAAACTGTCCGTTTAGAAACAAAATCTAACGAGTCAACATGTATTTTTTTAATTCACCATAAAATTTTATTGATATATTAGAAATGTAGAAAATGCTATGACATAAATTTTCGAAATCTTTAATTATTTGCAGAATTCATGTTTATGTGTCTCATTTTTGTTCAGTTAAGAAGCATGAAAAACTATTTTTTAAAGAAACATGTTCAGGTTATGTGTCATACAGAACCATAAGATAAAGCTAGTTTCGCATAAAATTACGCTTGTTGTGTGTATTACGCTATCTTATACATATTGTATAACACAGTTTGGCTATTTTTACAGTTTTGAGATATACGGTTACCATGGAAATTGCCATGTTACAAAGTCCAAGACGTCAACATATATATTTATAAAAAAAATTTATTTGCTATTAAATTTTACTTGTCAAACAAAAATTTAAAAACAATTATGAAAGGACTGAATTTTCATGGTAACCGTATAAATGTGTTTTACTCAAACAACAAATATTGCCACCATATTTGTTTTAATTAACTTTAAACAAATGCATTATTTATCTTTTAACAATAAGTAAGTACAGGTTCTATGCTGTCTTTTCTAATTTATCCGAATAGACACATAAAATACATATCTAAGGCAAGAAAGCATTAAATTTTGCTATATTCAGTATTAATTGTGTCCATTAACCCAATGCATCGGGAAAATATCACAACTTAAAAATAACAGTCTTCATTCGTTACATTTCAATAGTTGTCAATACCTGTTCGAGCTTAGTTACAGCTTGTTGTGCTCCTTGGTTATGCATTAATACTGATGTTCCTTTTAGTAGTTTTATCATTTCTTTTAAATGCTCTGTGAACTGCCAATCTGAAATCGTAAGACTGTCACAGTTGCGATAGTATTTTTCAATTTCCAAAACCTGAAATGAAGATTCATTACAATATTAATTATTAATTCATCCGTTGATCAAACATAACTTAGAAAACTAATCCTACACAAATTAATTCAGTAGGTATTAAATTTACTAAACTGATTAGTAAAGACAGACGGTGTTAGAATTAACGATATATATTGCCTTTCGATCATACCGACACAACTAAAAGATGTTTTTCACAGAGTAAGTATTACCTCTCCTAGCCACCATTGCCTCATAATTCATTCACTTTCATGAGAAATGATACCGAAATCTTTTCAGAGTGGTGTTTTAATAACATTTTGCTGCATATGTATAAGGACTGAAAATTCACGTAAATCAGCAGTCCATTTTTTCATATTTTGTCAATTATATTATTTATAGAATATTGACCCTACAAAACATTGCTTCAATGTTTGGAGAGGGGGCAAATATTGTTAAAATCGTGAACGCTCTTTAATTTAAATATAGATTGTAGTAAAGACAAAACATCAGCATTAATATTATCTTTGTTTTCTATGTAAGAATAGATTTATCAATAAGACAGAGCTTATTTTGAATAAATATTTTAAAAAAATGCATTTTAAAATATGATGATTATGTTGATTGTGGATTAGTAAACTTCCTGACATGATCTTTCTGACATGTTTATTTGACATAAACTTAGTCTACAAACAAATGAAGTACATGCAATATTTTAGAAAACAGAAATAAATTAATCACATAACAGAACATACTCGTTTTTTGACAAATTACAAAATATTAAATCCTACAATAAAATGAGTGCAAATTTATAAAAAAAGATAATAAGCATTGGCAATGGTCAACACATACACTGGAAAAGAACATAAAAACAAAGTAATTATACATAAATATTGCTTATGGGTATTGTTAAGACTATTCTAAATAGAGATTGCTGATCTTACACTAAAAAATAGTGTTTCATTTTCTATTCATTGTATGAATGGTGTACGTATTGAAACCAATGTGATCCGATTGAAATATAAGTTGTCACTGGAGGGACATAGAAAAATTATAGTGAAAATGTGTTTTAAATTGGAAAGTTAAGTGTTTATGAAAAGACGAAAAAAGGAAACTAAAATAGAAGGGAAAGGGGAAATGAAAAAATACATGCGTAGTATTAAATTGACGATTACTGCTCAATAGCCATATCAACATTATAAAACATATAACACAACATCTTGGTGCGTGAAAAATATTGAGCAAAATGAATATACTATTTCAGTAAACGTGCGGATAATTTTCAAGGTATAAATGGAAAATTCCAATGTTCAACAACAACAAAAAAGAATAGAAAGGAAATAGAATAGAAATTCCATGAATACTTGAATACCCTCATTTAATGAAGTGCGCATATGGCAGATGAAGGGAGATAACAAAAGTAGCTTTATATGAAGTTGCATTTACTTCCCTTTAGTAAAACTCTTTCAAGTTATTTATTATGTAAGTGAATTAAATATATTTTATAATGTATTTTATAGAAAAGATTTCAGATCGGTCTCCACCTACTGTATCGTGGAGCTGAACTCAACCAGAGCACTACTTTGGTCATAGAAGATACATTGGCGGTCGGGAGTCTGGAGTGCCCCCGACTTCACGATGAGACCTATGTAAATGTGGCGGAGGTCACAGTTCCAGCCATCTTATATATATAATTGAAGCAGCAAATGTCGGTATCTATTATAAGCATTTTAATATTGGTAAACATCAGAAAGATGTTCGGTATAAATTGTTTGTGCGCGCATCTATGAAAATTGTAGTAAAAAAGAGATATCAATGAAAAAGCGAGATGTTCATGAAATATAAAAAAAGGTAGGCAGGTGGTACGAGTGAGAGTCATTTATTTTCTCATTTACCCAAATTTCAAAAAGTTTTTCCCAAAGACCTACTATAAATGAGAAATCAATTAACGAACAAGTTTGGACTGCATTTTTTTCGATCAAAAATGTAAGAAAATATATGGTCAAGCGTAGAGTATTTAAAAGCGAGAAAACCCGCTTTAATTTCATTAAGTAAAACAATTAGTGTAAAGAAAGCTTTGGTATTCTATTATTCAATATTATTCAAAATCGCTATACAAATTTTATCTCAACAACTCGGGATAGTAATTGGTCTATAATAAGGTAGGCCGAGTTAAGAACCCTTCTTTTCTCGAGACAGTCAGACAGTTATCAATCAAGAATGATTCATTAAACAATGAACAGTATACCGGGAGCATGAGAGAACATGCAGATTTTAAGTTATAATGAAATAAAAGCTAGAAATTGCCTTACCCTTACTTGATTATATAATATCATTTTATATTTCTGAAGCAGTGATTGGAGGATTTAGACACGAATCGACGAAAGTACAAGGAAATATGCCTCACAGTCTTGGCCAGGAGACGAATTTGTATCTTTGAATTATTCATAAAACTAGGAATTATGAATTTTATCAAATATAGAATAAAAAGCCTATGCCACCTGATTAACAAAAGCACCTTCAAATCTTGGCTTTAAAAGAAAAGTATACTTTGGTATGTCACAAATATTATAATATCATAATCCTTAAGTAACAATTGGAAAATTGTTCAATAAAATTTACAAACTCGGGATATTTCAGTATACTTTCAAGTAATATACATAATAGCTACCAAAAGATTTTTATTACCTTGATATAACTGTTGTCCTTTTCAATAAGGTCATCAGAAAGGATCTTATCAAACCTCTTGTTGTTTATAATAACATTGATAAGGCCATTCAAGTCAACATCTTCTATTTTCCCTATCCCCTGATACTTGCTCCTAGGTAAATAACATTTCATCACTTGGAAAGCGTTTGTAGTCCACAGTTGGGCATTTGTATTGCTCCAAGATGGTTCTGGTATGCTTGATTTATTATATCTGAAATTTTCTCTGATTTTGTCTCTAATGATGTTGCAGCTGCCATTTGGACATCGGCGTAGTTGTCTCAAAGATAAGCTATGGAAGGAACAATGTTTTAGTGAGCAGAGCCCGGTTGAAGGACATTCCAAAAGGTTTTCGATTCGACATTCTGAACAAAGCTGTTTTCCAATTAATTCCTGAAGAATAATGCAATGGAAATCATTTGTTTCTTTTTTAACGATGCCTTGTAACCCTTCTTTTGTTATTTTCAGGGCTAATCCAAGCTTCAGATATTCAGAAAACTTCTCCTTCGACAGTCTTGATATATAATGCGCCATTACGCATCATACATGTTTCCTGTAATACATGTAGATATATTATTATATAACATTCTTAACTTTCCAGGCACATGATATATGACTGTTATATCAATTTTATAAATCAACTAAATTATCGGAAGCTGTCATTATTGTGTAAACACCATGATCTGTGTGACAGGGCTGAGATTGAAGCACATAATTGTGTACATAACAGTCGTCTGTGTTAAGATGGGGATACATTATTGTGTAAATAACAATTACAATAACAATTGTGACAATGTGTACATGGGCATATAGTATTGCTTTTGTTTATAACAATCTTTGTGACAGGAATACATTATTGTTATTATAAATATATATAAAACAATCCAATCTTTGTGATAGGATTTAGATTGGAATACTTTAATTTTATTGTGCGTATATATAACAGTTTTGTAAAAGGGTTTACATGGGAAAACATGATCATTTTTATTGTTTATGTAACAATCTTTGTTAAAGGGCTTAAATTGGAATAAATTTTGTGTGTATACTAGGGAAGTCGGCGAACTTTCTTATCTAGTAATTAAAGCGGCTGTAAACAAAACTTAAACATTTTATTAGTTTTTTGCAACTAATTTGTTTTTTTAAAACATCTGCTTTTATCATGCTCATTCTTATTGAATTAAATTATTTATAGAAATAAAACATATTTTGCATACTGTATGCCTTAAACTTTAAGATGCGTACGATATTCTTTTTTTATTTCACCCCTCCCTCCACACGCACACGCACGCACCAACACACACACACACACACACACACACACACACATCAAAACAAAAAACAGTTCGATAGCCATAGGTTTGTGTTGTAAGCACACTTACGGTGAACGTCCGGAATTTTTCAAAAAAGGACTATTGGCATAAGAAATAATAATAATTCTAGCGTTAAAAATGAAACTATGTACTTATATTCTAAGTAACGTCAATGAAAATAGCAGTCAATCATTCTTTTGTTCCGAGTAACGTGTTTTTAACACTTATCTGTGATATACAGCCACATTCGCAACTTTTAGGCCCTTTCCGTCAGTCTTCGGATAAGGACCTCGAACACGATAGTATGAATACACAGAACGGACGCGGGATGCGGTATTTCGGTCTAACCTGCGCTAAGGAACTAAACAAATAGTGTTTTAATGCTGGGAGTTGTTGACAAGTTTATTTCCAATATATGTAGTAAAAGTCCATCTAAATTAAGTGAATTCATATGTACAAAAGCAAACAATACATTATTTATATATTTATTATTGTGGTTGCACATAAAAACCAACCTGTTGACATTTAGTCGGATTTTGTTTAAAATTGTACATCAGTTGGCATATTTAAATTACAAATTGTTGTCAGACATATTTTCAACCATAAGAGTACCGAAACACACAATACTGTTCTTTTGGATGTCAAATATATACATTCGTTTTACATTATCTCTGTTTCTGTTTACATTTCAATCTGTATTGTTTCCGAGGTTATTATAGATAATAGCCGAGGTTGTTCCGATTGAAGCAGCCAACGGTCACCCTACATAATTAAATCCAACGTTTTTTTACACGTACAACGGCCAAACCTTTTCGAGCATTAGCGTGTGAAGAGAAAAATCAATAATTGCCCTAACGCGACCTAGAGTCACTGCTACACAACTATACCTGTGTATTTGTCAATAATTATTACACGGTGATAAGGCGTTTACCACAACCTTTCCGCGCAACGTCAAAATACCATACTTCTGACCGAGACACCGTATCTTTCTGTCATACAAAATGGATGTCAAGACTGCATACGACAAGAAAACAGATGACAATTTGCCCAAAACAATGTAAAATCATCGAATTTTTCATTCCATCGAATGTGTCATTTAATTTGAAGCTTATTGCTCTTTACTACATGCAAAATGATTCACTATCTAAGTCAAGATAGTGAAAACAGTTGGGACATGCTGTGAAAAATATTGCTTTGATTGCGAAATTTAAAACTTTCTAGTACGTTTAGTTCATATGACTCATCGAAATGCAATATAGATATGTACATTATTATCGTTTGAACAAGTTACACCATTTTCATAACCTGTTTTTTGTATATATGGTATGATTTTCATGTTTCCACGTGCATACTCTAGGCACCGTACAACTTGAACAATAGTAAAATGTGGATACCGCATTATTCGTCCTTAAATCACTGCATTTCTTTTCTTTTCTTTTTTTCTAGTAACGTCGATCGACGAGAGATATTTGCATGTGGGGTTTATACATTTGAAGAAATTCGAAAAAAAATATATAAAAAAATCAACTTACTAATCTATTGAGACCATTGCACTTATCTAACTGGTATTTTGGATTTCGACCTTCAAGTCTTCCATAAAATAACATTTTCTTAATAAAAAAGAAAGTGAACAGTCTTCTTTCAAATAAAACATATTTGTAAGTAGATATGTAAGTTTCTTTAAAAGTGTGGTGCATAAAAAACAATGCCTTATTATCAGTCAAACGGAATAAAAATGCGCTGTAAGAATTCAGTGGTGTGCGGTGCTCAAATATGCATCTAAGTCACATATTCCCAAAAATTTACAATAGAAACACACCCTTTTGTGTGGAACTTTATTTTATGCTTAACCATTACATATATACGGGCTCGTCAGGTCATAGCAAAAACACATCGTCGTTAAAGCATAAGTACAAGTCATGATGAGGTCGACATGACCTTTTGTAAACACTATTTCTTCGAAATATGTGATGTTCTGCGAATTATGTTGTGCTAGATTAACGATGAAATGTTTCAAAAATTCGATGAAATAATTAAAACGTTGAAGAAAGTTTGCATTGTCTAACAGTAAGATATTTTATAAGCTATTTCCTACAATTCGATTAGCCAGCCATAACTATTTTGTCCAGGACGGGCAGAAGTATGATATTTTGACGTTGCGCGGAAAAGTTGTGGTAAACGCCCTATCACCGTGTATTAGCAAAATGTAAGATAAGAATAAACCCGCGAAAAGTAATTTACGGATAGTGTTTTTCATTGTCTTTCGGTGGTTTTGTGAAAATTATGATTATAGGATTAATACAATACAAAATTTTATTCAGTATTAAACATAAACATATGAGGAATTTTTTTCAAAAAGTTTCTTTCAATTTTATGAAAGCACTGTTCATAATCAATGAACACACAATGCAGTTTTTTTTACCGAACTTTAAAATTTTAGCTATTATAGAATATAGGATAAATATACAATCAATTATCGATTTTCCTTTTTGAAATCCGAAATGGCTTTTTGTAATCTTTTTGTATAATTTGGCCCATTTCGCTTATCGATTAAAGATCTTGTAACACAATTTTTTATGGTTTTATATCTCAAATATGATGCTCAAATTAAGATTTATTAATTTAATTTTGTAAGTTTCAAAAAGCATTGTTTATATAAGATATTACCGAATTTAACATTTCATGTAAATTAAGGGAGGTAATAAAAAAAACAATTTCTATAAAGTCTTAGTTAAGAAATGAATGCATATATTTTAATGATTACATATAATATGTACAAATATTTGCAGTACATATTTTACATATTCTTCTATGTTTGAAAATTGTTTTATAAGCATAATTATATACATATATACATGTATAATTTCACCTAAGTGTGGTATACAATCCCAATTACAACATACAGGATCTTTAAGTAGAAATTGTGAGAAAATATTTGCTATTTGCTATATAAGGTAATTCCACGATAATTTTTTGCATCATTAATATTGCATTTTTGGAAGATTGAAGTAATATCCCCCACCAGCGCGGGTATTTTCCTGTATTTAATATTCTATTATATAAATTGAGAGTAATACTGGTGAGATAATGTCATAAGTCGATATGAAGATTTCGCCTGTTATATTATCGATACCTGGCAGTTTAGTAATATTCTGAGAAGAGGTTGCTGCGCGGAGTTCTACTCATGTGAAGTTCATATCTAAGTCTTCATTTTTTGTATTGTGGGAAAAGTCCGGCTCAGGCTGATCATTCAATAATGGCTCCCCCAAAAAACTTTTAAAATGGTTATGTAATTCATTTCGGCCTTTGTCTGTGTCTTCTTTAAAGATTTTTTTTTATTTTTATACCAAATCTATGTTGTTTGTTTGTTTGTTTGTTTGTTTGCTAAGTTATTAACATGTTCTCTTCTTTTCTTTAATTAAGCGCTTCGCTTATCGCTTTATCCATTAGTTCGGGAGTGTATAAAATTTTGTTGCATTTCATCATGTTTTGCTCTATAAAACTATTTCTAGTTGTTTTAAATTCTGGTTTAGCGTTGTAACAATTAATATCAAATCAATTACTGCTTACTTTTTTACTTCGATTCATTTTTTGCAAATTTTTCCAAATATTTCTAATGCGTTGTCATATACAGATTCTGTAAAGTTGTTTATCATTTTGTCAATCGGACTGCTTAATGCATGGTTGGTAAACTATTCGATATATTGATGATTATTTACAAGTAAAATGGTTTCCTGCGGGGAACATTTTTAATGATATAAAGATATTTCATTTAACTATTTTTCAACATTGTTTTGGGGGAGGGGAATAAATAAACGTTTGTATCAGGAATATATTTGACAATAATCGATCAATATAGAAGAAAGTCTTTGGAAACTGGTGACCGTTGATGACCGGAGAAGGTCGAACATAAAACAATTATTTCTTTTTAAGAAAATGATTAAATAGGCCTACCATTTTATGATAATTCCAAGCAAAAAAATAAAATAAAGTTAACACACAAGTTTACGCAGAAAATATCTCTATTTATTATGGCAGATGCCACTACGAATATTTTAATTTTGTAGATTTTCAGTATAAACAATTTATGGTTTGTAAAATTTGAGATACATATATTAAAGAAACAATGATGATTTTCAAATACATCATTCAAGTTTTTCCACCTTAAACGGTAAAACAATTATAGAAAATTAGAAATATCACGTAATAGTTTTTTGTTCTTAATTAGGTGTAATTCTGACTATTTCCTTAGAGGTAATTCCGTAACGTACCGACAAACGGTATTTAGCCAGGTTTTCGAAAAGGTCAAT